TAAGTCCAATATTAGCCCAGATGTCCAATACCAATCTGTACATTCTTCTTCAGACTCACAAAACACATGCAATGATGCCGGTGGCAGGAAGATCACAGGCCTGTGGGTGGAAAGTCTTGTGGATCCAGTGTCAGTGGAAGCATCTCAGCGCTGGCAGGGGTCTCCAAGTGGTTTCTCCAGCTCCAGGGTTCTAGTGTAGCTCCATGTGGCTTGTCACCAGGAGGACCGGAGCAGAGAGAGGCTGAGTGTATCTGGCCTCCAGTCAGCTTTCTCTGTGGTGCCTACAAATGAGGTCATCAAGCTGCGACTTGATTGGCAGGCTAGATTCCACCCCTTCGCAAGTTGACAGGAGATTATGTAACTACCACGCCACACATGCATTTACAAATAGGCTGAACTTGGGGTCCTCAGTGTGGAGATGAGGCTGTTGGAGTCATGGATTCTAGCATCAGCCAACCCAGGTTCACATTCAGGGTTCTTTGTTTATTTGCCATCCATTTCTCAGGTTCCAAGCCTGTGAAACAGAGGCGATGGTGACAGCATCTTGTTCGCAGGGTTACGAAGGGGTTGAATGAGTTCATCTATACCCAGTTCCGAGAAGAGGAGCTGGCCCTTAGTAAATAATCAATGAAGGCCAGCTGTCATTATTGGAGAAAGGTTGTCCTCTCACACAGAGCCCCACAGGGCCCACTGTGTCTTGCTTTGTTTCTCGTTGGTGGTCTCAGACCCTAACACCATACCCTGGCCTCAGTGAGCTCCCTAGGACGCCAGTGCCCAGAGCCCCAGGACAGCACTGCCAGGCTTGTGGTGCACAGGTCGTGCAGGCTGGCATCCAGCGGTCCCTGAGGTCGGGCAGTCCACTTAGACTCCTCCCTCCCTCTGAATGACCACCCCACTGTCCTTTCAAGAAGGCAAAATGTGGACTCTTCCCATTTCACCGCAGGTATAAAACAATGTTCACGCACCTCAAAGCCCTGAAGGTAGAGATCGAGCACTTGCAGCTGCTGATGGACAAAGCCAAGGTCAAGCTGCAGAAAGAGTTTGAAGCCTGGTGGGCAGAGGAGGCCACCAACCTGCAGGTATGGCTGGCTGTGCCCCGCCACCACCTTCCTCCCATGGTCAAGGTATCTGAGGATGGAGACTACCATGCAGCTCCCACGGGGGGTGGGGGTGGGATCCTGGCAGGAGGCAGAAGGAGTGGGGTTCCCCCCACCGCCCCACATGCTCACAGCCCCTGGCTCCCGAGGCAAATGCTCTTGTTAGTCACAAGGGGTTTAAAAATAAGTGAGAGGTTCATTGTTTACTAGTGATCTAGTGCCTGATGTAAACACCTGTGCACGGAGGAGTCACGCATTAAAGGCGTGCCTTCTCAAACCAATGGGTTGTCACGGTGGCTTTGTGCAGTGTTCCTCCGTGGTGCCCTATGCAAAGCACTCGTCTTTCTTCCATAGGCCCATCAGGCATAGATCTTTTTTAAAGACCCCACAGAAAGACAGAGGAAGAAGTAAAGTCCCCATCACACCCCAAAGGAGAAACGATGTACTCCATTTCATTTCCTGAGAGCTTACCATTTTCCTAGAGGCATATTTTGTACATTCCACATCCCAATTAATAATGATGTTTGCTGCTGCCGTTGCTACCCACTCTGCCCCATCAACAAATGAAGGACCCCAAAGCTTTGCCCCACCCACATCATTGAGTCGACTCTACTTTGAGGAGGCAGCCCTTCACCCGGTTGTATTTTATGTGCCTTCCAACCGGCGGGGCTCGCCTTCCACACTATATCTGACAGGGTTCTGGGCTATTCATAAGGTTCCCCGGGGCTCACCCCTCAGAATCGAACACCCGATTCCTTCTTCTTAGTCTGTTCTTAGTCCAGAAGCTCTGCTGGACCCTGTTCACCATGGGTGACCCTGCTGGTATTTAAAGGACAGTGGCATCGCTTCAGCATCACTGTGGGGACACACAAGACCCCCACACACACACACCCAGACAAAATGACAAAGAGTGTGGAGAGAAAAGGATACTTAGATCATTTAATAAATTATCAAATAAATTAGCTCAGGATGCCAATGGGCCTCCTAGTAGGTTTCATACCAAAGCACAAATAAAATTTGATCATTTAATAAAATTAAATACACAGAAATACAAGGGGACTTCAAGGAGCTGGTGGGAAAATTCTATTGTTTTTTAATTCCATTTTTTCCCATGAGTTTTCTGAAGCTCCCCGCATCCTGCCCTCATATTAAGAAAACCACTTAAATTCTGGCTATAAAGATCATTTTCTTAAATTTATTTTATTAGGGGCTCTTACACCTCTTATCACAATCCATACATATATCCATTGTGTCAAACACATCTGTACTTATATTGTCATCATCTTTTTCAAAACATTTTCTTTCTATTTGAGGCCTTGGTATCAGCTCCTCATTTTTTTATTTTTCCTCCTTCCCCCATGTCCCCTTGATAATTTATAAATTATTCTTTTTTCCCCCATGTCTGACACTGACTGCTGTCTCCGTTCACCCACTTTTCTGCTGTTCCTCCCCCTGGGAGGGGGGCCCATACATCGATCATTGGGATTGGTTCCCCTTCCTCCCCCCACCCTTCCCTTCCCCTCCTAGTACTGCTGCTCCCCATATTTGCCCCGGGGTCAAGATAATTTAAAGGCAAGATGAGGGTATAATAACAAGGAGACTTCGTACACATTAATTGTATGACCTAGGGAGTGGGCTGAGAGCCTTGGTCATGCAGTAGGAAAAGCCTTGATTACGATCCAACAGACCAGAGGCTCCAAGCCACCAGGCGTTCTGTGGAGAAAGCTGTGGCAGCCTGCCGCTGCAGACAGGATCTCCTTGGAGACCCTATGCGCAGTTCTGGGCTGCCCTATAGGCTTCTCCCCGTCTGGATCGACTCAGCAGCAACCGATACCCACCTAATGGGTATGCGGTGATCTTAATAACTGCCCTAAGTTCAAAGTAAGGATGAACCCCATATGTCAAGGATTCAGCAACACCGCCATATGGTGTAAAATAAACGTGATCAAATACGTGACAGAGTCCCAGGCTCTGCTGATCCTTCGGCGGTGTGTTGCCTGCATCTGTCACTGAAGGACATGTTCGATGTCGGGGAGAAGGGAAAAGGAATAGGTCATTATTTCCCGCCCGAGTTCCCACCCCCACCCCCTGGGTCTTGTCTGTGGGTTTCCTAGAAGGCCCTCGGTGAGTGAGCCCTGCAGTCACAGTGGGTCCCTCAAGGGGTCTCCCCACCGCAGAGCAGACAGAGGCCATCCGCAGGATTCAGGAGGTGTCCAGGGGAGGTTGGCAGAGTCACCTGGTAGGAAACAATCAGTCCTCATTAGAGCCTCAGCTCGTGAATTAGATCATGAAAACCAGAGGAGAGACTTCTCGGGGTCCCCTGCCCCACAGAACAACAGGAAAACAGAAAGGACCAGATGACTGCAGCCCAAATGTCAGGACACCCCGGGGCTGGGGAGCTGAGTCCTCAGTGCAGCTCAGCAGTGTGACAGTCGGGTGCAGCTCACACCCATTCAGAGCAGGAGAGGTGATAAGAAACCGGTGACAGCCTCCGGGCAAGCAAGGGAGAAAGAGTCTGCGAACAGCTGCTCACGATGCTCCCCTGTCCTGGGAGGAACTCTTAAAGATCAGCTGTGATTTAAGCCCCGTCTATGGAACCTATACAGGTGCCCTGGTGGTCTGCAGTTCAAAACCCCCAGCCACTCCACGGGAGAAAGGCGGGTTTTCCTAGCCCGGTAAACAGTTACAGTCTCAGAAACTTAGAGGGGCGGCTCCACCCGTCCTATAGGATCGCTGTGACTCAGCACCAGCTTGATGGCGGTGAGTTTGGTTTTTTGGTTTGGTATGAAGGCAGTCAGGCAGCCTGGTGGCCCCACAGGCTAAGCGCTGAGCTGCTGACTCTAAAATCAGCAACTCACTTCCACCATCTGTTCACCCCAAGGAGCAAAGACCAGACTGTCTGCTCCTATAAAAAATATCACCACCTCAAGGGATCCGGCATCAAAGAACAAAAAATCAAATCATTGTGAATGAGGGGGAGTGCAGAGTGGGGACCCAAGACCCATCTGTAGGCAACTGGACATCCCCTTACAGAAGGGT